ATTCCTAACTTTCAGTACTCTAATTAGGAATCTAGAACTGTCAAACTTTTCTATATGGTATGATGTAAGACCTACTGTTAGGTCGATTTTCCTTGAACTTATTACATCCGTAATACCAGCATTATTGAAATCTATCTCATCTGTGGGAAAAATCTATACACTTGTGCTTTCCTACTAATATTTCTTATTGTGATTTCAAACACTCATTCAACTGTTGGGCTATGGTTAGTTAGTCCATGTGTCACTCTCACGTTGCTTACAAATTGATTCTTACCATTTTTCTTATCTTTATAAACTTATAGCTGAAAGATGCCTCCTCGCAAATCTCCCAGGAATAATCCTGCACCACCACCTCCTCCGCCTCCGGTCATCGATACTGTAGCCCTGAATGCTGCTGTAGCTGCAGCAGTGGCAACTGCCATGGCTCAGTATCACTCTTCTGATGCCAGCAGAGGTGGAACCCCCGTGGAATCAATCCCGGTTGAAACCCATGTGCGCTCGAGAGAGTGCTCTTACAAGGATTTCACCAACTGCAAGCCGAAGTCCTTCCATGGGACCGGCGGAGTCATTGCCCTCTCGCAATGGTTCGAGAAGACTGAAGCGGTCTTCGAAATTTGTTCATGCCCTGCTGCAAGCAAAGTGAAATATGCTGCATGCACCTTTGAAGGAAAGGCTGTGACGTGGTGGAACGCCCACGTTAAATCTCTAACTCTCGTCGTAGCCAACGACATAGGCTGGGAAACGATGAAAGACCTTATGATTGAGGAATACTGCCCGAGGGGCGAGATCCAGAAACTAGAGCAGGAGCTGTGGAGCCTGACCATGAAGGGCACCAATATTGTTGCTTATACCGCCAGATTCAGCGAACTGGTGCCCCTCTGCCCTAATATGGTTCCCACTGAAGGGAAAAAGATCGAAAGGTACATATGGGGGCTAGTGCCTCCGTATCAGGGGAATGTTCTAGCATCAAACCCCGCTACCTTCGACAGTGCCAAACGATTGGCGCAACGACTCATTGACCATGGAGTC